AGGGAAAGATATTTCCAGAAAGTTTTGAAACAGGCATTTAAAAAATGCACGGTAAGAGTAGGACAATTTTTGATTCTTATGGTTAACGAGCGGGTATTGTGACCTAATGACAGTAGGGCTCACTATGTTGTGTGTATACTCACAAAACACATCCACCCAATCACAGCATCCAAAGTACACAGACATAGATACCCACAGGACTTACTCAGAAAACAGTAGAACTGAAACAGCTGATATGTTTCTACCACACTATTCCATTTATGTGTGTGTGTGTGTGTTTGCAATAAATTGGATTCCAAGCAACAGATAATAATAATAAAGACAAATTAAAACCCTCCTTTTTGTTTTCCTCTCCCATACTCATACTCCTTCTACCCCAGAAAGATGCACCGTAACCCAGACACAAATTGTTTTCAGCATTATCTGGTCTCCTAATATAGTAAAACCCAAGCAAGAATCCTGAGAAAGAATCATCAGTAACATAAAAGAGCCTTTTCTGAAACTTTTGGGGCCATGAATTGGTACAATCTTATAAATACCTTAAAAAATTATATGTCATAGTATGCATCTGAAGCTTTGTAAAAATACATACCTTTCATGTATGTATGATCAAATGATCTTTGACAAGGGTGCCAAGACCACTCAATGGGGAAAAGACAGTCTTTTCTACAAATGAGGGTGGGAAAACTGGATATACGCATGCAGCAGAATGAAACTGGACCCTTATCTTACACCACACACAAAAATTAAATCAAAATAGAATAAAAATGTAAACATAAAACCTTAAACTGTAAAATTCCTACAAGAAAACAGGGGGAAGCTTTATGACATTGGATCTGGTAGTGATTTTTTAGATATAACACCAAAGCCATGGGCAACAAAAACAAAAATTGACAATAGGACTATATCAAACTTTTATGCATCAAAGGACAAAATCAAGAGAGTGAAAAAACAACATGGAATGGGAGAAAATATTTGCAAATAATTTATCTGATAAGAGATTAATATCCAGAATACATAAAGAACTCCTATAACTCAACAATAAAAAATCATATAACTTAATTTTAAAATGGGCAAAAGAACTGAATAGACATTTCTTTTAAGAAGCCGTACATACAAATGGCCAAAAAGCATATGAAAAGATACTCAACATCACTAGTCATCAGAGATATGCAAATAAAAACCACAGTGAGATATCACCTCACAGCCATTAAGATGGCTACTATCAAAAACACAGAAAATAAAAAGTGTTGGTGAGCAGCTGGAGAAATTTGTGCCCTTGTGCACTGTTGATGGGATTGTAAAATGGTGTAACCACTATGGAAAACAGTATGGAGGTTCCTCTAAAAACCTAAAAGTAGAAATTCCATATGATCCTGCTGTAAGTGACAATCCCACTTCTGGGTATATGTCCAAAAGAATTGAAAGAAGGATCTTGAAGAGATGTTTGCACACCCATGTTCACAGCAGCATTATCCACAACAGCCAAGAGGTAAAAGCAACCAAAATATCCATTGACAGGTGAATGGATAAACAAAATGGGGTATACACATATAATGAAATACTATTCACCCTAAAGAAGGAAAAGTCTGTCACCTGTTACAAAATGGATGAACCATGAGGACATATTATGCTAAGTGAAATAAGCCGGTCACAAAAAGTCAAATACTATATGCCTACACTTGTGAAGGATCTAAAGTAATCAAATTCACAGAAACAGAAAGTAGAATGGTGGTTGCCAGGGATGGGGGTAGGGAGAAAATGGGAGTTTTTTAACAGGTATAGAGTTTCAGTTCTGCAAATGAAACAGTTATGGAAATCTGTTTCACAACAATGTGAATATACTCAACACTACTGAACTGTGCACTTAAAAATGATTACTATAGTAAATTTTACATTATGTGTTTTTTACTACAAGAGAGGCACAAATGGATACAAAATAACCTGAACAATGTTCCCCTTTCAATCAAATACTTTAATTAAAAACCTTGTGCCCAAAGCTTCAAAACAATCAAAACTACCAAAAAAAGCAAATGCATTGTTTTGCCAATAATTTCACTAGTGGACTTAAGTAAATTATAATGAAAATAATGGATGTAGGGGTAAAGAAGTTAATTAACAGAATATTTTTGTTAATATATGTCTTAACCTAACTGAAAAGAAACAGTGTAACTACCCTGGCAAAATTCCTTGCTGTCCACGGAAGTTACATACTCCTTGCTTTCAAGGTATAGATAGGGCTACTACTGCCTGGAAGCAACTGCACTGCAAGCGACATTTCTACCCCTCTTGTTTAAGTCAGGCCATAAGACTAGTTTTAACCAATGGACAGAAAGTGGAAAGGGGCTGAGCTGATGAAGAAACAGGTGCTCTTTCTCCCCTTTTCTCCCTTCCCCTCTACTGTATGCCAGTATTGAAGACAGCAGACTCATGTGGTGGACGGAATCCGGTTCCCTCAGTGATCACACAGTTGCCCAACAAACATTCTAACCGAACAGTTGTGTGAGTTAGAAATAAAAGCCTACCATCTTAAGTCACTTTAATTTTATGGTTTATCTGTTATAGGAGTTAGCATTCAGAACCTTTGAACAAAGAAAGGTTTATGTTACACTGTTTGGATGTGTACTCTATTTACATATGCTAATTTTTCCACAGAGTAAAATGATGTACAATGTATTCTGGAAAAGAAGTGAATTTATAAAATTGTAGACTAATGGCCTTCAAACATTTCAAGAGTAATTCCTTTTATCTTTTCTTTTTTAAAAAGAAAATTGTATATGAGAGCCCCCAAACATAAAAGAATAAAATGGAGCTGCTGTTCTGGTTAAAGCAGTAGTCGGAGGCCTGGAATCCCAGCTGCTGAGACACTCTCACCGCAGCCCAGCCTCCTGCAGATCCCTCTAAAGAATGTCCTTGCAACCTCCAGAGCTCCTCAGAGCACCATTAAAAATGCAAGAGTCAACTGATGCAACAAGGCTACAGAGATATAGTTTTTATTTAGAAAAGGAATCCATGTCCATGTAATCTCTAGGATTATAACCAGAATATTGGGGTATCTCCTTTACAGTGGTGAAAAGAATATTCTGGGGACTTCCCTGGTGGCGCAGTGGTTGAGAGTCCACCTGCCCCGGTTCGTGCCCCAGTCCGGGAAGATCCACATGCCGGGGAGTGGCTGGGCCCGTGAGCCATGGCCACTGAGCCTGCATGTCTGGAGCCTGTGCTCCACAATGGGAGAGGC